AATTGTCCATTCCACTTTGTAACCTGTTTGATATTTCTTTGTCCTCTTCTCAGTTCCCAGATATATGGAAATGTTCATCCGTTGTTCCAATTTATAAGAAAAATAATGTTCATGATTATACTAATTATCGACCGGTTTCACTTACTAGTTGTCTTTCAAAAGTATTTGAGAAGTGTGTTTTTAAACATGTGTCAATTCTTTTCCTAGATAATGGAACTATCACTTCATTACAGTCAGGTTTCACGACTGGTGATTCTACATCATACCAGCTCACTCATTTGTATGACTATATAGCTAAGGCGATGGATAGTGGCAAGGAGGTACGCGCTGTATTCTGCGATATAAGCAAAGCGTTTGATAGGGTTTGGCACAAGGGTCTTTTGCATAAGTTATGGGCTAGTGGAATCCGCGGATCTCTTTTATTATGGTTTGAAAATTATCTAAATAATAGAAAACAGTTTACAGTAATAAGTGGGTATAAATCAAATGTTAAATCAATTGAAGCTGGCGTCCCTCAGGGATCAGTCCTAGGACCTTTACTCTTTTTGGTTTATATCAATGATATTGTTGAAGATATACAGTGTAATATTAAATTATTTGCCGATGATACATCCTTATATGTGATAATTGATGACCCTATTTTATCTTCCAATATGTTAAATGATGATTTAGAAATAATAGCTAAATGGGCCCAGACATGGAAAGTAGACTTTAAATCCCAATAAAACTGAATCTATCATTTTTACTAGAAAGAAAACAGTAACATCAATGCCAGATCTTATAATGAATGATATACCGATAAAGTCTGTTGACACTCATAAACATCTGGGGCTGACTTTACAAAGCGATGGCCACTGGAATACACATATAGATGATATTATTTCTAAAGTTAGTCCTATGATCAATTGTTTAAGAAGTCTGAAATACCGCCTTCAGAGGAAAACCCTCCAAACCCTGTATAGTTCATTTGTTTTACCACTTTTTGACTATTGTGATTATATTTGGAACAACTGTACACAAACTCAAGAGTTATTGTTAGAAAAACTTAACTTAGATGCTTTAAGAACGATATGTGGATCTGTTAGAGGAGTCAGCCATTCCAAAATCTATCATGAAACTGGTTTTTCATCATTAAGGGAACGTCGCAAAAATCACCAAATGTGTGTATTTCATAAAATGTTCCATAATAAAACTCCAAAGTATTTATCAGATCTAATTCCAATAAACATATCCTCTGTATCCACATATGAATCTAGATCTAGTAATATACTCCAAGTACCATTATGTCGTACGGAAACATAAAAAAAATCATTTTTACCATCCTCTGTGATGGAGTGGAACAAGTTAGATAATGATATAAGAAACATAGATTCCGTTGCCATGTTCAAGAAACACTTTGATCGAACTGTCTCATCCAATGTACATCATGTCTTCAGAAACACTGGAACTAGATTTAACCAAATAATTCATTGTAAGTTAAGACTTGGCTGTAGTGACTTAAATGCACATAAATTTGACCGTTTTCTTCAAAATACGTCTACTTGCTCTTGTGGCCATCATTATGAAGATGCCATTCATTTTCTATTTATCTGTCCAAAGTTTACTACAATTCGATCGAAGTGTTTCTATTACATAAATGGTTAGAATATTCAATCTGTATTATGTGGAAGTTACTCATATTCTGACGAAATCAATGAAAATATTGTAAAATCTGTACATGACTATTTTACCTTAACAAAACGATTTTTACCTAATTGATTAATTATACTACTGTCTTTTCATTAAGTCTTTTACTCTTCAAATGGTGTGTTCTCTTGTCTGTAACGATGAATGTATGTAAAATGTTTCCCATCGCATTGTATTCGGAGAGGTATTTATATAGGCTTATAGCCTGTTTACCAATCCGTTCATTAAAAAAATTAATAAATATTTTAAACAGATTGAGGGGTTGCTTATTCGGACAGCAGACATGATTTTGGAGTACATGTTCTTTAGCACGTAAAGAATTCGTCAATGAATATCATTCTTTAATAATGAATACCAGAGACGTTTTCTTTCATAGAATTCAAACACAAATATTGAATAAAATCTGCCACCTCGCCTTGATGGGTATTTCTGGATTAAACATTGTAACGTAAAAATATTATCAGTTGTGTTGCAGTTTTTCCAAAATCCTGCTTGAGCTCCTGGAATCTTGCCATAAAGTGTTGCAAATGTTTGTAGGCGGTTGTTTAGAATAAAGCAAAATATCTTTCCGAAAATGTCCACGGGTGAGATACTTCTGTAGTTGTTGACTGAGTTAATGTCGCCTTTCTTGAGCAGTGGTACTATTGATCCCTTGGTCCATTCAATAGGATATTCGTCTTTGGTTAGGATGATATTACGTACAATGACTAGACATGGACTTAAGAGATCAGCACATAATTTCACCATCTTTGCTTTAATACCGCCCGGAGGACCGGCTGCTTTACCCGATTTCATGTCTTTAATGGCTGCTTCAATATCTTGGAGCGATACGTCTCTGTTCAGTAAATACATGATGTCATGTGGTCGAGTTCACAGTGGTTGTCTAATGCATGGGCAGCTTCTTCTAGTTTTGATTCATCCACTGTATTGTCCGTGAAGTTAAAAGTGTCTTTAAAATAATCAGTCTACTGTTCCTGATTTATTAGGGGTGTGCTTTTCCTGTTGTTTGTCATCTTATTTAGGTTTTGCCAGAATACTTTGCTGTCCTTGGAACTGTCCACTAAATTGTGAATTTGGAACTGTTCGTATAAAATTTTCTCTTTTTCTGTCTGCATAAATATCTGTAATTATTTCTTGCATGAACATATTCCTTTAATAACTCTTTACTTCCAGGTAGTGTAAAATTGTCTAATAATTTGAATTTCTGTGATTTCAGTAGTTCACATTCGCTGTCGTACCATACAGTAGAGTTATGAGATTTATTATACTTAGGTCTCCTTTCCAAATCACACAACACAGCAGTGCTTTGAATAATGTCGGTGAGGTTACCAACTACAATGTCGATGTTGTCGTTAGCTGGCATACGGGAAGCATCCACGCTCAGTTGAGTTAGAGATGAAGATATGCAAGTCCCGAATTTTCCAGTTTCTGTTTCCTTCCACACATATCCGGGAATACTGTTTCCGTTATTGGTCTCATCATGAGGCTGTTGCATCAGCAGTGTTACGGAGTATGTATTTGTTTTCAGCAGTTGACAGTACAGTTGTGCGTTGTGTGTAAACAATGGAGTCTGCACCAAACAATTCTTGATTGTCACCATGCCATACGATGACAGCTAAGCTGACTTACTGAGTCTGATGACCCTGCCAACTGACTAACATGGTACATTCCGAGCAAGACGACAACACAATCCTGCATCACCTGGAAGGAATGGGCAGTGACCTTGACATCTAGTACTTTATGGTTGTTGTAATGATGCACGTCTGGAACTATCCTGACTGTTCGAGAAAATCCGTCAGGGAGCAGTTTCCAGATGTGTGACTGTACCTTATAAGAGCGAGACAAGTCCAGCTTCTACGACTTTTCATTGCGACATTACCTTGTGGGATATTTCCAAGAAAACACCATCTTTTCTGCCATCTTCCAACACTTGGTCAATCCGACTAAATTAGAAACATACTGATATTGTCCAAATCGTTTTCATTGCAGTGGCACTCCCTACGGTCAGACATCGACATTCAATATTCCCCGTTTTGCCTGTCGTCAAAATCCAGAAAGCAGTATGTTTTGTCTCCAGTAAATGTCCCACATCTGCAACGACACTGAGAAACACCATTCCTCACCCGAGTCTGGCGCATCAGTCCAGCTCTAGCAGCCAACGTAGAATACCAGCCAGGTGACAAACAACTGGTGCTATATTCCTTCAGAGCATCTCACCTTCTGACAATTGACTGATACACAGCTCGGCAACTCAACATCAGCAACAGCAGCTCAACATCGGATAGAACTCGGGAGGTAGGCCAAACTAAGGGGTTTCAGTCCCTAATTTGACTTCTCACACGGGCATACGGTGTTCTGCCTATTTCCTGATTTTACCCACAACAACAACAAATGAAAAACGTGTTGGATAATACTCATTAACCCAGATGCAACTGCCTGTTCTGAACCAGTGATCGATCTTGATGCAGCTTCGACCTTGAACGTTCCAGCTTTCGGTTTCCCAGGGTAGTTTCCTGTTAATACTGTTTTCGGACAGGACAATAATATCTTATCTGACCACACACACACACACACACGCACGCACGCACGCACGCACGCAAGCACGCACGCACGCACACACATAGATATATGCAGCCACGCCTGATAAACGGCCCTGAATACAAATGACCTTGAATCCTTCTGAAAACATAAATCATTGTCCGCTGTATCTTTAAACTCTCAGGGTCCTAACTGAGATGTGTATTTGTGACCTGATCAGCCACAATAGCCATTTTCACTGCTTTCTCGAACGAACTATTTAGGAAAGCAGAAAGAAGCCTGTTAAAGGTCATATATTTTAAAGAAAATGTTCCCACGGACAATCACAGTTTTTTAAAGTATCACACACTCAAGCAGTGTGTAACCATGTAACGGACTTTAAACATGATTCATGATTTTAAACTTAACACGCTTTATCATGTGGATAAGTACTAATGAGAGAGTCTCCTTCAAATCCAGATAACCGTTTGCTGCCTCTGCCTCCAATCTAGAATACATTCCAACGGAATGAGGACGTCAGCTCACCCTTCCTCCAACCCCTGATGGTACATAGAGTATATTGCAGCCCTATTCAGCTAGGTTAGATTTGGTCTTTATGAGCGGAGAATGTTACAGTCAAACCCTGTGTGGCCGGGAATTGCGAATTTCCTGATTGTCCTAATAAACGTATTTCCTAATATGGGAATAACTGACTTTAAACCAACTTTAAAGCATGAAAAAACTTACTTTCGCCTTCCATTTGTTTAAGTTCAGCAAATGAATAAGAACAGCTTCTGTTGCATCTGTCTGACAAAGATCGCAATTTAATGAGAGCGCTTAAAAATATGTAACATTATTAAGCATAACGGGTCGACGTTGCTGTATCTGTGAGCGTTGACTGCCACGTCTCGATGTGACGACGTTGTACTCTTCGATTAATGTTGTCGTAGTTGAGGAACAGCGTCCTCTCTATAGTGAACCTGTCTGAGGCGAGTCCCTGGGGCAGCACTCCTCGATGTATCCTTATAGACGTGTAGTAGGCAGGAGATATATCCCTGGAAAATATATGAGAACAATGAATAAATAATCATAAAAAGGACAAATGTTGGTTTTCAGTTGTGTTAAACGTTTCTCAGAGCTGATAGACGTGTAGTTGGCAGGAGATATATCCCTGTAGAATATATGAGAACAATGAATAAATAATCATAAAAAGGACAAATGTTGGTTTTCAGTTGTGTTAAACGTTTATCAGAGCTGATATAACAGAAACGACAGAAGATTCTACGTATTTTTAAATTCTTGAACAGTATTAACCTTACAAAAACTCAAAATACCCGCAGATGCTGACAGCCATAATTTGCCCTCGTACACTGTCGAATCCATATAAATCTACACTAACCCTGGATCGTTACCCGTTGTTCTCTCGACCGTAGATTACCCGCCCTTGATTTTCATTTCGACATTACCACCAAAACAAACGTAGAGATAAGGAATTAGGCAATGAGTTTGGACACGAAGGCACTCTTTCCATCCATGGGAATAGATGAAGAGAGGTAAAGCATGAATAAGGTTATATGACGAACTACATGAAATATGGTCGCTACGTCTTTCGGAATAGGGTCTGTCCTTCTCGCGAGGCGCTACTTCCGGTACTAAGCTGGTTCCCTGCTCCCTTTGCGCGCGCCAACTTGCGCGATATTCGAGACGAGGCCCAGCTTACTTCCGGTACCAAATTTCCGGTGACAAGCACATATTCAAGAACAAGTTCTAGCTCCAAATTGCGCGACCGCTAAATATGACTTTACTAGACCGGCCAAGTGTACAACCATGCTTGGCTGCCACAGCTGTTGACAGTCGTAATAGTTGGGTAATTTAGGGATGGTTAGATCGGAAAGTTGTTATTCCTGATTATCTGTATCTTACGGTCAGCTGACAACCGTGAGACCATTCGAAAAGGCATAAAACGTTTTTTATCACCGGAAGTACTAAGGTCTCGCATTATGTCGTGACCTACTTACGGGCCCTATATATCGTCCATTTAAGGAAAACTAATGATAAAGAGTTTTGTACCCAGAAATAGAGATTGTTGGTTAGCTGTTCCTTGCCTCTCTCAGTAAGATTCAAGCTAATATTGCGGCGGTCTGTGATTGAAACGGTACCAGACAATCAAGTGTTTGACATTATGACCATTGATCTACACAGGTGGGATGCTATAATATGCATCAAACAAATGCTCTAGTCTGACCACCCAATCTCGTTACTCGCCTTGTACGACAAGCATGGGCTGCTAACAAACCCGGACCTTCACGTGTTCCTGCAGTAATGAACTAAGCATGCCTTGATCACTGAAACTCAATTAAGTGAGTGAGTGAGTGAGTTTAATTTTACGCCGCAATATTCCAGCTATATGGCGGTGGTCTGTAAATAATCGAGTCTGGACCAGACAATCCAGTGATCAACAGCATGAGCATCGATCTGCGCAATTGGGATACGATGACATGTGTCAACCAAGTCAGCGAGCCTGACCACCCGATCCCGTTAGTCGCCTCTTACGACAAGCATAGTCGCCTTTTGTGGCAAGCATGGGTTGCTGAAGACCTATTCTACCCCGGATCTTCACGGGTCCTCAATTAAGTATATACATGGGCGTTTCACTCTACTGTGTATTTAATCTTATTACAAAAATAAGTACCCTACCAATACAGGACACTGGGACACCAGAAATGGGCTTCACACATTGTACCCATGTGGGGATTCGAACCCGGGTCTTTGGCGTGACGAGCGAACGCTTTCATAACTAGGCTACCCCGCGGCCCCTTATATTGGGTAAGGGGAATGGTAAGATAGTAAATACCTTATAGCATGGTCGTGAATCTTGAGTTGATTCCATTTCTGTATGGCCCGGGGGTGTCGTAACAACACCAGGTTCCCCCAGTTACCCCCAGGACTTCTCTCTGCACTGCAATAGACCAAGATGTCTTCCTGGCTGTTCAACTCAGCTACAAGCACAGCATCCATCTGCCAGATCTGTTGTACAACGTGCTCATCCACAGTGTCCAGCTTCTCGCCAATGAATCCCACAAAGTACAGAACGCTGTCCCCGGTCTTTGCCCCTTCTCTATATTCCTGCACCACACTCATCCCTTGGGGAAACACTACTCTTGCCTGATTGCCATTGTCCATGTGTTTCAAGTACTGCAGCATTGTTTTGCCTTCTTGCTTGGCCATTAGTTCAATGTCCATCTCTTTGTTGATGAAATAAAGGCATGTTTTGAGAAAGGTAACGTCGTCTTGATAACTCTCGAAGCTCTTGACATCGTTCATATTCCAGTAGTTCAGCTATCAATGGAACTGGTGTGGTGATAGAAACTGGAACATATAGAAGAAATCTTTCATTTAGTTGTTTGACAAAAGAATCTAACACAGTGGTGTCGTAATGTATACTATAATCATACCAACATCTTACCTTAAAGTCAGACAACCCACTGTGCTATGTTAGTAAAACACAAAATGTCCGCAAAATGATAACTGGCAACAAAACGTAAATCCATCAGTCAATGTGAACAATTACATGTATAATGTGTCATTGGAACAGATGTCAGTAAATTGAAAGTATTAATGAAATTGTTATTATGAAGCCTGGCGTGGCAATTCGACCTGCATCCGTGCCATGTGCTCTCCGTGCATAGATCAATGGAATGCACCGAACATAGAGTAATGGAATGCAAATATATAGATCCACAGTGATGTGCAGGTGTTACCGGAGGATCGGGTGATGTCAAGATTAAATACTTCTCATAAAAACTTGGTGTCAGCACTGACTATCACATTCATATTGCTATATTACTAGTTGTATTGAAAAAATGTATGATAAAGACAGATACAAAAGATGAAGCTGTTGAAGGTAAACAGATACTAGCCCGCGATTGAAGCTGTTGAAGTATGATAAAGACAAATACAAAAAAGATGAAACTAGTCTAGAAGCTGTTGATAGGAAACTAGCTTTGAAGCTGTTGAAGGGTTACTAGCATTGAAGCGGCTGAAGGGATACTAGCCTTGAAGGTAGTAGAAGGGAAACTTGCCTTGAAGCTGTTGATAGGAAACTAGCCTTGAAGCTGTTGACGGGAAACTAGTCTTGAAGCTGTTGAAGGGGATGGAACTAGTCTTGAAGCTTTGTATGAGAACTAGCATTAAACCTACAGCTTAGAGCAGGCCTATAACATTTGCCTGAAATCATTCCGACACTAACGGCTTCAACGTACAGACATACCGACAATGAAGCTTCGTGTCTCTTTGAAGACCCGTGAAGATCCGGGGTAGAATAGGTCTTCAGCAACCCATGCTTGCCACAAAAGGCGACTAACGGGATCGGGTGGTCAGGCTTGCTAACTTGGTTGACACATGTCATCGGTTCCCAATTGCATAGATCGATGCTCATGCTGTTGATCACTGGATTGTCTGGTCCAGACTCGATTATTTACAGACGGCTGAAATAGTGCTGAGTGCGGCGTAAAACTAAACTCCCTCACTCGTGTCTCTTTGGAAAGCCTATCTTGACATTCACAACATATATAATGGCGGCACTGCATCATAAGGGATGAACTGACCTTAACGTGGAAACAGCCAAAGATATTAAATATTATATTGTTCGATTTCTGAACCCAAAGATGAAGTCACCATGGTTACATGGGCATAATGTATTCTGGGGAGTGCGTCACTACGCTGTGTGTCAATATAACCTGTATGTTACTGTGTAGCTACCTATGATCTTTAAACCTCATACATCCATCTATATTCATATAATAATTATGAGGCCTCCACAACTGACAACTGCCGTCCGTCGACTATCAGCCGATTGGCCAGAAACAAACTCCGCAAACTAATCACGTTAAGTACTGTCAGCGTTCAGAGTGAGTGAGTTTATGTTTACGCCGCTCTTAGCAATATTCCAGCAATATCACGGCGGGGGACACCAGAAATGGGCTTCACGCATTGTGCCCATGTGGGGAATCGAACCCAGGTCTTCGGCGTGACGAGCCAACGTTTTAACCACTAGGCTACCCTACCGCCCTCAGCGTTCAGGCCGAATACGAGTGACAACACCGAGAGTCAGACTCACAAGACTTAATCATGTCATGTCATGTTAAAAACAGTGGACCCGTGAAGATCCGGGTTAGAATTGATCTTCAGTAACCAATGCTTGTCCTAAGAGTCGATTAACGGGATCAGGTGGTCAGGCTTGCTGACTTGGTTGACACATGTCATCGGTTCCCAATTGCATAGATCGATGCACATGTTGTTAATCACTGGATTGTCTCGATTATGTACAGACCGCCGCCATATAGCTGGAATATTGCTGAATGCGGCAATATCACGCACTCACTCACTAAAAACAGTGGATTCCACCTTTGGCCAACAGAACTGTACGAAATTGCTCAAAATCGGCCATGTATATAAAACGTCTGTTGTTATCTCCAGAGTGATGGGCTTGTGAGTGAGTGAGTGTGAGTGTGAGTGTGAGTGGATTTATTTACACCGCATTTTGCAATATTCCAGCAATATCATGGCGGGGGACACCAGAAATGGGCTTCACACATTGTACCCATGTGGGAAATCGAACCCGGGTCCTCGGCGTGACGAGCAAACGCCTCAACTACTTGGCTACCCCACCGCCCAATTATCTCTGGAGTACAAAGCAGCACGACTGGCTTAGTGTCCAGCCCGATGTCACTGGAATGTTACGTCATGGGGAAGAAGGGTCCATTAGTCATGACTGATGGCCGAGGTCGTGTTTGGCCCCGCAGAAAATATCTAGGAGCCAGTTCATTGATATCGTACGGGCGCCTCTCACATGATAAGCTGTAAACTTGACCTTGTAATGGCCAGACTATATCGGAATGAACAGCGGTAGATCTCGGACAAGCTAGAGAGGGTTGTTGTGCCACATTTCGATGGCCATCCTCGGAACACAAGACCAGTCTTCATGGACAACAATACTGGGTCACATCATCACGTGACATTGGTGATTTCATAAGGCAAGGGGCGTTAGGAAATCAATCTTGCCCCCCCTGGAGTCTAGATCTCATTGAGCATGTTTGGGACACTATGGGTCGCAAAATACGCCAGAGTGACCCTGCAGTACAAAATCCTGATGCATCAGAACAAGCTCTCTATCAAGAGCGGAACGCACGACCTCAACGTCAAATTCAACGTCTGATACAGTCACTGATGAGGATGATCAGGGATGTTATCCCAGTTGGCGGAGGTTACACCATATGTTGACATTGTTCTCGGTTATTGACACCTATGTGATTTCGTGAGGAGTGTAGGGCAGACTCGCTTGATAACGTCATACGACCACAGCTATCAGCACCACAAAATGAGTCAGTTTTTGTCATGTTTGCTTCACCGAATAAACTACCGTTTCCCGTATTGCTTTTAGAGTTGTCATTTCAGTATTCCTTAACAGTAAAGTTATCCAGAGACTTAGTTAAATTGAGGGTTGGATACGTCCCTTTCCTATAGTTTGTATTATTATTGGTCCCAACATGATGAGTACAAGCATATAGAGGAATGTGTGCACATAGCTGCTAGTGGGCTCAATGGCGATATAGTACACTAAGTACATTGAATATCAATATCAGTGATATGTTTCTGTTTAATAGTCATTCAGGGTTAAAGTCAGGGATGAGAGGAAACAATTTGGCTAAAAAGCTTTCAACATTATTATTTCTTCTGGAGATAAATGATTCAGTGGTAAATATGTCTCTCAATATCCTTAAGTAATTATCAACATTTGGAATTGTTTTTTCAAAGAGCAAGTGTAAATATATCTTTTAGTAGATAAGATTATGTGGTTCAGTAATGGATTCTTACCTAAAAAGCCAACCCAGATCAAAGATTTTGTCAAATTAAGTGTTTGGATACGTTTCGTAATCCGATGTTCAAGTTTCTTCCAGAAAGTTTTGGTTTCATCACATTCCCAATATACATGGCATAAGGTTTCAACAGAATCATTACACAAAGAACATATTGTATTGTCCACCAGATTCATTCTAAAAAGTTCATTTTTGATATAAACAATTCCATGCAGAAATTTATATTGAAAATCTAACAGTTTAACATCTCCTAAATTCTGTGTACAAACATTAAAATTAAATGCCAATCAAAATCAATACAGTCAAATAATGTTTCCCATTTTTGGCACATGTGAGGTTTAACATTTTCAGATAACAATTTATCATAGAATAATCTTAAACCTTTTCTTGGGGATATGAAATCCTTTTGGAGTGAAGTTATTGTGAGGCCATTAATGTTTATGTATCTATATTCCTTTAAAGTCTTTTTCCAAGGTTCGGGTAAAATATATATAACATATCCAAGATCTAAGTGAGTACCTTTTATATCAAATTTAAGCTTCTTTTTATCAAAGGATATAAACCCATGTTCATCACAAAGATCTTTGATCGTCAAGATTCCACTTTTAGCCCAGTGACAAATTATGTTTTTTGAGTTTTTGAAATTGTTATTCAGCCATAAAGGTTGGGATAAGATTTCATTAAAGTTCTCTGCATCTATATTATTTTTGATACAATATAATCTCCATGCCTTTAATACGTCTTTCCATACAAGATTATCAACTGCAACTATATTCTGAAAATTTGCTCCATATTTTAGCATATCCTCAAAAGGAAAGTTGCATGGGTTACCAGGATTTGTTTTTAAGTATAGTATAATTTGGGTGTGAGACGCCGCTTTTAGCAATTTCATGGCGTTAACAATGGGCTTCACACAATGTATCAATCATCCAATGAAGCCCCCTCCCGCCCCATTTCATGGCGTTAACAATCGTTTTAATATCTTTTTTGTAAAGTGCTCCGTTTGATTTTGTCGTTTTTGACATTCCAGATGAATTTAAAAAAACCTCTCTCAAGCACGGTGATAAAATCCTCTGAAGGGTTAGGTAAAGTGTTAAAACTATGAACTAATTTTGAAAGAGCCAATGTCTTAATAACAGTAATTTTCCCTATCAGCGTCAAATGTCTTTTTCTCCAAGTTGCTAGTAATCTATTAATTTTATTCTAGTCTTTTCTTTGTGTTAATAACCCATAAATCATTCAAATCCGGAGTAAACTTTATTCCTAATACTTCAAATTGTTTTCTTTGCCATTGTATATTCAAATCCTGACATAGTATATCCCTGCTACCAGCCTTTGATCCAATCCAGATTGCTCTAGTCTTATCTATGTTTATCTTTAGTCCTGACATATTGTAAAATGTATTAAGTGTGTCTATAGCAGAATACAAGTTTTCATCTGAGCCATCCAAAAATAATTCAGTGTCATCTGCATATTGACCTAATTTGTATT